TGTGTGTCAGCCACCCCTCCCAGTTTCATATAATCAACCAACTTGCATTTTATCCCCTCATCCAGGTCATTGATGAACATAATGAAAAAAACTGGACCCAGTTCTGATCCCTGGGGAACACCACTGGCCACAGGCTCCAACTTGACTCTGTGTCGCTGATCACAACCCTCTGAACTCTGTTTTCAAGCCAGTTCACAATCCACCTCACAGTCTAATCATCTATCCCACATTTCCTGAGTTTACCTACGAGGATGTTATGAGGGACAGTATCGAAAGCCTTACTGAAGTCAAGGTATATGACATCCACTGCTCCCTCTTCATCAACATATTTGGTCATGCCTTCATAGAAGGATATCAGATTAGTCAGGCAAGATTTCCCCTTGGTAAATCCATGCTGGCTACTCCTGATAACTTTATTTTCTTCCAACTAATTAGAGATGGCCTTCAGAAGGAGCTGCTCCATCATCTTCCCAGGGATGAAGGTGAGGCTTACCAGCCTGTAGTTGTCAGGGTCCTCCTTCTTGCCCTTTTTGAAGACTGGAGTGATATTGCCTTTTTTTCCATTCCTCAAGCACCTCTCCTGTTCCCCATGGTTTTTCAAAGATGATAGAGAGTGGCTCAGCCACAACATCAGCCAACATCAGCACACGTGGATGAAATGAAGGAACAAGTGTTTTTAATGGTTCTGTTCAGTTTTGCTTTTTCGCCCATGTGCAGAATATTTGCTTTCAAAATTTTCCATGGGCTGTCGAGGAGGTGATGTGACCTTCTAATGTTGCTTAACAAGAAAGAAGGATGTGAGTTAACCACAGCTGACCACACAAGAGTTAACTGGATAATTCAATATGCAAAATCCAAGGAGAATGAGAATCTGCATGGTATTTGGGTCTGGTATTTAGAAGACTCAGAACGTGATCCAGCTGTCCAAGCCTGAGTGTCCAATGATGCTGGAAATGCCCTCAGGTGGCTTGAGATATCTGCATGGGGTTGACACTGGGCTGAGGGACATTTCATTCCTCATTTGGGCCTTGGGCTTTCAAGGCCACCTGAACACTGCACTCTAACTGAGAAGTGTCTTGTTGATGAGCTGAGTTTCTGTGCTATCATAGAATCATAGAATGGCCTAGATTGGAAGGAACCTTAGAGATCATCTAATCCAATCTCCCTGCCATGGGCAGCGATGCCTCTCAACTAGACTAGGTTACTCAAGGCCTCATCCAACCTGATCTTGAAAAACTCAAGCGAGGGGGCATCCACAGCTTCTCTGGACAATTTATTCCAGAGTCTTGCCACCCTTGTACTGAAGAATTTCTTCCTAAGATACAATCTAAATCTATTCTCCTTTAACTTAAATCTATTTCCCCTATCACAGAATCACAGAATATCACAAAATATTATCTAGTCCAACCCCCCTGCCAGAGCAGGATCACCTATGCCTGACTAACAAATTGTTAATGACCACAGGTTGTGCCACAGTTTAGGTGACCCCAAGGAAATAAAATAGCACATTATAATGAGACTGACTTATACAATACTTAAATACTGCACACAACTAGGGGAGGTTGTCACTGCAATATACCTTCTGGAGCATATCCCCAAAAAGCTTGTTTAAATTTTGCTCATATTCCAAAATTTTGCTCTAGTTTTACAGCCAAAATGAATGGCACGAGCTTTTCCAGGGTGTTAAGTGTGTAGGTTACAGTAGGCTTTGGATCACAGTCCTTCGAACAGAAGAAAAGTCCTTTATCAACATTTGCATTGAACCTAGAATATGGTCGCAGCCAACAAAAGTTGGCCTCTGAAACGATGACTCACAGCTGATTCGCCCCTACTAAACCGAGAACTCCACTGCAAATCTGTCCACAAGAGAAAGTTCACTGACACACCAGAAAACTTACTGTGTAATGTTGTGCACAACTGGACTAATTTAAAAGCTGGAGCTGTGATTGCTCCATCTCTTTAACTAAGACATGAACTTAACAGAGGCAAAGCTCACTTGTTGAAAAAGAGATGCACCCATTTTACATCCCCTGCCCCAGAAATACACACCCCAGATTAAAAGAATTTGATCAAGGACTGAAAGAAACTAATTTTGCCTTAATAATATGTATACCTGGGGAATTTTGTGGCTTGCAATAAGGATGGTCTTATTCTTCAGGTTTGGGTCATTGTTACTATTAGTATTATTTTTCTTTTTCTTTAAACTGGTTCAAGTTTCTTTTCAACCTCAAAGTCTCTTTCTCCATTTTCCCTGTTATCGTTCCCAGGGAGGGTATTGGAGGGGGGTCACAGAAAGCATCTGTCAAAGTTTAGTATATGATCCAGCCTTAAAATCTGACAGATGTCTATGGAGGGAACTGAGTAATAGAGAAAATGAGAAAACTTCCATCAAACTAGATATAAGTGAAAGTTTGAATGTGAGTGGTGAACTTATTTTATGTTGCTGCAGTGTAGGAGTTGGATATAAACTGCAGTGGAAGTATCAATACTGATTTTAGTATTACTGCAATGTTCAAGATAGTGTTTTAGTTCCTTGATAGATATTGAAATTACAGCTTCCTTTGGAGTTTCTTTGTATAATCCATCTTGCTTGGACTTGGAGAATTGGTAGGCCTTTTCCTGAGGATTCTATGTTAACATAATTGCTGGCTTTAAAGGTGCAGAATGACTTACCCGTGGTAGTGTTCTCCGTTCATTGCTTCTCATAGAAAAAAACATTTCTCATTTTCAACTTCTAGGATCACAGTGACAGCAATGTGCAACATGGACTTCAGCCATTTCCCCCTGGACTCTCAGACCTGTTCTCTGGAGCTGGAAAGCTGTACGTTTCGTCTGTGTTTCTAGCTAGATGTGCTCCGTGGTTGGCTGTGTAAGCATAGATTGGACACATTTCAGAATACTGTCTATTTTAGAGCCTGAAAGAATAGTTCATCAGAGTTACTGAGAGTCTTTCTATTGACTTAACTGTGTTGTATATCTAGCCCTTATGCTGCAAGACAGGGCAATTTACAAGGAAAGCATCCTTGTGTGAATTTTAGTAGACATCACTTTCAAAACAATCACCAACAGAAATTTTAAATATATACCCTTTCTGAGCAGCTTGCTGATGAGAAATCTGGGGGAGTTCTGCTCTGTTTATTGCTTCTGACAGGAAGATGGTCCTTTAAAGTGTTACAATAAAAAAGTTGGTTACAATAATTATTGATTTTTCTCTAAATTTCGTCACCAGTTTTATTTATGTATCATATAATCCTGGTCCTGCAAACACTGTGGGCTGGGGTCAGCTTCACTGGGAAGGAGTTGTTTTGCAGAGGAAGTGATATGAACACTAAGATTTTCATGGCTGTTCTATAAACTTTGTCCAGGGTATGGCAAGACTAGCATCTAGTTCTTTTGAAGTTGTCCCAGCTATTTAACTGAAATTTTCCCCTATAAACAACAGAATCACGAGGTAATTTATGTTCGTCTTGAGGCCAGCTGCTCCAGTACCCTGCTCAGAGCAGAGAGAGATTTATAGTGGGGTTGATCATGGTCCAGTCGGGTTTTGAACATCTCCAAGGTAATGGAAGCTGTGCCACCTGTTCAAATGACAGCTCTTACCCTGGAAAAGGTTCCCTTTATCTGCTAGGAAAAAAATCCTTTGCTTCAACTTGCATCCCTTGCCTCTTGTCCTTTTGCTCTGCATCTTGGAGAAAAGTGTGAGACGTCTGCCACCATCTTCTCTATGACCCACATCAGGGCAGCAGCGGGACCCCACCACTGGCTGCTCTTCTTCCAGCTCAACAAACCCAGCTCCCCCAGCCTGATGTCTCGTGCCATGTGCTCCACTCCAATCATCTTGATAAACATTTTTTCATTCTCCATTGCTGCTCCCTAGTACACTAATTCTTTTTTTCATTTACAGTCTTCAAATATTTCTTTTGCTTGACTTTTTGTTTTTACCATTCTAAGACAGTTCAAGGTATTTGTGTTTCCTCCTTCCTCTAAATTCAGATGTTTTTCCCATGGCTATTTCCTGAGTTATTCTTAGTAGTTAGCAATACCTGGTCTATGATTTTTGGTATGCGATGCTCAGGAAAGTACCATTGTAGTTGTTATTTCATCTGTGTGGAGTAAAAAGAGGATAGGTTTCCCTGAATCCAGATGAGATGGATTGTTTTTGATTGTTGTTGTCATGGTATATCATATGTCAAGATCTTTTTAACTCTCTGTTATTAGCAAATACTTTTGTGGCATTACTTCATACCAAAGATGATTTTGTGTTTGTTAATTCTGACTGGATCTATTAACTTTTTTCACCTCCAAATTAAGTCACATCACATCATGTTTCTTCTTATGCTTACACTGATGAAGATCTGATGCTGTATTGGAAAAATGGAAATGAATCCCTGAAAACAGATGAAAAGATATCTTTGTCTCAGTTTTTGATACAAAAATTCCACACTACATCAAGACTGGCTTTCTACAGTAGCACAGGTATTGGCCTTTTCTGATTTAATGCTATTGTAAACTTAATCATAGAATGGCCTAGGCTGGAAGGGACCTCAGAGATCATTTAATCCAACCTCCCTGTTTTGGGCAGGGACGCCACATCTCGACAAGAGCAGGCAACACATAGGGACCGAGCGGGAATCGAACCTGCGACCTCAGTGTTGTCATTATTGTCAGCACTGCTGCTCAAACCACTGAGCTAACTGCCCCCCTGATTTATATAATGCTATATTAACTACTTGTGAGAGACCTCTTGGGATTATGTGTCACTGAAACCACCATTAAGACAATGTCTCCATGGCCTGGGCAACACATGTTTTAAAAGATCACTTTCTGTTTTCATGACTCTTACAAAGAAAAGATCAAAAGAAATATCTTCTCTCTGTGTGTGCCTGCTGTCCAGGCTGTTCTCATCAATTCTTCCTTTCCTCCTCTCTCAAAGGCTGGTACAATCGCCTCTATATAAACTTCACTTTACGCCGACACATCTTCTTCTTCTTGCTCCAAACCTACTTCCCTGCTACCCTTATGGTCATGTTGTCCTGGGTGTCCTTTTGGATTGATCACCGAGCAGTTCCTGCTAGAGTCTCTTTGGGTGAGAACAACTGCAACAAAACATGACTGTGTGAAAAGCTTTGAATGTGAAAATTTTGGCATGGAAGGGACCCATTCATTCGGATGGTTGAAGATACTGGGCAAGAAATATTTGTTTTATATGATGATTTATATAATGTAAAATTTGCAGTTAGTCTTAAGTCCTTCATCAAGTCCTCCTGATCTATACTTAGCTCAGGACAGAAAGGGCTGTGGTTTTAAAAATGAAGTTGGGGAGGGAAGAGAGATTTCGGTATTCATGAGCCAATGAATCAAGATTTTTCTCTGTTGTCCAGTCCTGCAGTTCTGAGACACACACTGCTATCGGTGAGGGTAGAGTTTCCCAAGAGTTTAGGCACCCAAAGGGAGTTAAAAGCTTCTGTTACAATTTTCATGAATACATTTCATGAGCAAGATCCTGCCGTGTCCCAGCTGTCACAATGGGTGTCACAGCCCAGGCATGTGTCTTCCTAACCACCTGGCATTGATGCTGTGGCCGATGGTCTTCGGCCTGGAGGCTGCTTGGAGGGTGACAAGGTGGCACATCTTCACCAAGTTGGAAGAAAGGCATCAAGGGATCTGTTCTTAACAGCACCTGGGGACTTAGTTGTCCCTCCTTCCAGTGTGCTCCTGGGAACTCTCAGGGATGTCTGTAACATCAGGCCTTGGATGAGAGTGGGGCAGCAAAGGGTACAGAGGGTGAGGGGCCACCAGCCCTGAGATGAGGTGGAGGTTGGGTTTCTCCTTTCCCAAGGGTGACTTGCACTGAGGGTCCAAAGTTTCTGGGGTAGGGAGGTCTCTCATTTGAGAAAGTGGGAAAGCAAAGAAGTTGGTATGTGAATGAATGTTGATATGTGAGGCTTCCAATATTAAAAATGTAAAACCAGTGCTCCAGCCCATGAGTTTGTCTCACTTAGAATCTGCAGCAAAAATATAAGAACAGTCAGTCAAGAGTCTGCTCCACTGAAAGAAATGTATTTGGTGGATATTATTTAAAAGAAATTAGATCTTGATGAAAAGTGAAAAACAGTAGCTGTGTTTAAATTGGAGACTGTTTTGAAATGGCTGAAGCAACTGTGAATGTTTTTTGGCTCTGTTTGCTCTATTTAAGTGGCTTTAGAAACTTGTAAATATTTTTCTCTCCATGACCATCCAAGCTATACATTATTTTGCAGGATTTTATCTATATCTGTCTAAATATATATACACATACACATGTGTGTACACATACACATTCACACACACCCATATATATAAACATAAATACATTCATATATGTTTAAGAATGCATAGATGTATCTATATACATAATACAATGATTGCTGTGCAAAACTTTTTGACTCCCACAGCTTGAACTGTAGACAAATATTCCTAGTGGTAAAAGCATCATACTTTTCTTTTGCGTAGTTTCATACAAAACGTTTTATCATTATTACACATCCCTTTTAATATCAGTGGTTTAATTCAAATCCTCTTTAGCTGTGACCAAAAGTCAATACCAGGTTACCTTCTGGCAGTGCCTGGAACACAGACTGATACAGCTGGGAAAGAGGACTCCTCGTCACCACTGGTCTTACCAGACCTGAATCTAAGCACTATGCTAAAATGCTGGAGATTCAGGAGGGAATTAAATGTTGTTCCTAGCAAAACCTCCTCAACCTCCTGTTATTCCTCCTCAAAACAAAACCCATCATGCACACAGGAGAACAGTTCTACATTGACAGGAGAGATATTTATTTCATATCTAAGATCTTTTAGAGCATCATGTAGAACATAATTTTCGATTTTCTTCAGACAAAAGCCTTACAGACTGTATCAGTCAATAACATTTATTTCTCTTGGCTCTTTTCAGGGATAACCACCGTGCTGACCATGTCCACGATCATCACTGGGGTGAACGCCTCCATGCCTCGCGTGTCCTACATCAAAGCAGTAGACATTTACCTGTGGGTCAGTTTTGTGTTTGTCTTCCTCTCAGTGCTGGAATATGCAGCAGTGAATTACCTGACTACGGTGCAAGAGCGGAAGGAGAGGAAACTGCGGGACAAGGTGAGAAAAACTTTTGTTTTGTTAACCCACTTATTCCTTTTTTTTTTTTACTCTCACGGCTGATCCGGTCTTTATATTGACTGATTTGTGTCTATAAATGGGAAAACACTGACATCCATGTGTGGGTAATTGGGTCTGTTTAGACAGCTGCACCTCAGGCTGAATTGCTAACACCAGAAAAACAGGAGTTTGTCACATGGGTCTTCACAGAAACATCAGAGAAGAGGAGAGCGTGAGCTGAACTGAGGAAGAATGCAACCTGAAACTGTGTGGGAATGACGAGGGGAAATCATCCAATCTGACACTTCACTGCAGCTGCCACAATTGCTTGTTTTTAAGCTAAAGGTGTTATTTAGAGCAAATTAATTTCCTCCCTCTACAGTCAGCTTTACTCTGGAAACTGGATTCAACAGATATAATAGTGGAGTTGTTCCCCATTAACAAACACAAACAACAGTCAACTAAATTTATGCTTGTACTTTTTAACGTGTTGTCAGAGGTCCTACCCTTCATCCTTGAAGTTTTTCAAGACCTCACCAGATAGAGCCCTGAGCAGCCTGGCCCTGCTGTAAGCAGGCGATAGGACTAGAGACCTCCCGAGGTCCTTTTCAACTTGAATTCTCCTACAGACCTGTGAGCCCTTCCTCTTTGTAGTTAAACAAAACATCATCATCTTTTGAACACTGAGGCTTGGAACCAGATTTTTTCAGTCCTCACGCACCCAGAACATCATTATGTTGTACAGCTGCTTTCTTCCCATTAGGAGCTCCCCACATTTTTACTCTGGGAGAAAATTGTATCAGCCTTTCAGAAATGCCAATGCAGACATCATCTTTCATTTGATTTGGCCATGACATTTCCCTCTCTGAACTACTCTGTTGGCTTCGCATCCTGCTCTTCCACTTGCACTGCTTCCTGTGACTTCCTTGAAGTACAGAATAGACCACCCATCAGCCCAGTACCTTTCCTAGTTGATATCTCATAAAAAAATTTAATTATTTACAAGTGAAAAAGCAATTGAAATTGATTCAACAGACTCCTGGGACAAAATGTTACCTCTCTCCAAAGCCTTCTCAACAACAGAAATTAAACGTGCCAGAGACCAAGGCTGATGAGTGGAGTATCTGAAACTAAACGTTCTTTCTCTCAGAATTGGAGTGGTTGCTGTGTCTGCCTGTGGCAAATGGTTCGCGGCCTGTGCTTATTCCCAAACTGTCCATGGGAACTTTTTGGTGCTTGCTGGCCTGGACAAAATTCAGACTGGAGACATTTCTGACACTCTAAATCGTGTTGCCAGCTGAGTTCCTGTGCCCAGGGAGGCTCTTTAGCGGTGTTTAATTTATTATTAGACATAGACTAGGATTGCTGCAGGGTGAAATTATGTAGCATACTTCTACATGTACATGCCTACGTGAAGATGAGTGTAATTTAAGACGCTGTGGGTTTCTAGGATGATAAAGTCCCTTGTCCATAGGGCTGACTGTCATCATGTGTACATCAAGCCATGGGAACTGTAATTTGACCTGGGGGCTAGGAGTAAATCTGCAGAATTCCTTTTTCTGATGGGTCCTGCAGCGATTAGCTTATTGTCATAAACCGCTTTCCCTCCCACCAACCCACTATCTCCTGGACCTGTCATCAACTGAAGATAAAGAACCTGATTTAATTCTTCCCTCTAGGTTTTTTGTTTGTTTGTTTTTTGGCTTGTTTTTTACCTGCTTAGTATAAAATACACCTTAGAATCCAAATGATCTTCAGCTGTATCCAGGGATGGCTCCAAAAAATTCCTGGAGTGCTGGGTCTAACAAGTAGAACAAAGGGGCTACAAACTTGTCATGTTTTTCCGCACAAAGTCTGCTGATACCAAATCATTTGGTTATCACTAGAACACAGAAAACAATTCTTAAGTTGATTTTCAGATTTTCAGTAAGCCATGTGATTTGTTGGTTAACTAATTTGAGGAAAAAGATTTGAGTGCAGAGTTTTCCACTGACATTCCGAATATTGCATATTCAGGTATATATATATATTGAGGATATATACATTTCTGTGTATATATACTTAATTATTTTGGCTGAACTTATCCTTGAAAACAAGTCCTTGGAAAATCCACACCACACATCAAAGCTGATGAAGGGAATTGGGGGCAAACCATTGCTGGGTAAGGAAAGCAGTCTGTGGAGAGTCAGAGGCAGGAACATCTAGCAGAAAGGAGGTTTTAGAGTCCATTTTCATTGCATATAAATATACAATCCATATTACTGGAACAGAAAACCTGCAGATTTTAATGAGTAGAGGACAGTATTTGCTATTCAAAATTCTACCTGTGAAATTCATTGGTTTTATCAGGCTTGTGGGATGCATGCTTGTGTTGCTGAAGTCAATGCAAGCTTTGACATTAATTTCAACAGAGCTGGGATTTTACATTAGGCTTTTAACTGGTCCTCTCCTCAGTTTAAAATCAGATTACAAAGAAAACATTTGTATCTGTGAAACCAGAAGTTGGCCCTTATTTTTCCGTAACATGTACTGGATAAGCCATTTCCACAGATAAAATTGCATCTTGTCTTTGAATATTTGTGAACATAAAGACTGCAAAATAAGGAATTGCAAGACAGCAAGACTGAGCAGAGCTAGCTAAGAAAACATTTTCCTTAGTTTTTATGTCTACTAAAGCATTTTTCTAATGTTTTCTGAAGCTGTTTGCCGAAGCAGTGTAGCTAAACTACTTCCTTCTGAAACACAAGGAACAAAAAAGTGATTTTTTAGTTTTGTTCCAAGACAAACTTACAGTATCTCAACTAAAATTTCCAGCTCAATTGTTCACAAACTGTCTGTTAATAGAAAGACATCATTTCTGTTGTTAATATGTTCTTGCAGTATTCAACTATATTTCTCATTTATATTCCTAGTTTCCATGTACGTGTGGAATACCTAATTCAAAAACTGTGATGCTGGACGGAAACTACAGTGAATCTGATGCCAACAGCCTGGCAGGATATACAAGAAACCAGATGGTCCCAGAGGAAGAAAAACAAGAAAAGATGGTTGTGCACTTAACTATGAGCAATGAATCTAATTCATCAAGGAAGAGAGGCTCGAGGGGCCATGTGGGCTCACGCATCATCCAGAACAGTCACACAATTGATAAATACTCACGATTAATATTTCCAGGCACATATATATTTTTTAATTTGATATATTGGTCTGTCTTTAGCTAAGTGTGCTGGCACAGCAGTGACTGAAGCAGAAGACATTTAAAAAACTCTCTTTTGTTGGTTCTTTCTCAGTCTAATCTGGATGCGAAGCTAGAAAACGGATTATTTTATTGCTTCTTGGGAGGGTAAAGGGGAGGTCACATCCACCAGGAGGCAACTCCACGCATAGGCATGATGGAGGAACCTGCTGTGCTGGTTGCTTTCCAACCCACAACGCAGCTCCCATTTGCTTTATGACACATGCCATTTCTCATACTTGAAAACATGTTCCCTCATCCACCCAAAAGGTGCTGTATGTTCATGTGAGGCTGGCCACGGTAGTGGTGCTTGCTGTGCAATGGACAATCAGAGACAGTGCTCACATAGGCTGGCAGGGATTAGACAAATGCAACTTGCAAAGGGAGGTCTGGACAGTGCATCTCCTGTAAGGGAACTGAATAAGGCCCTTCCTTTTCAGAATCTCTGCTTTTGAGCAAATAGTTTTATTTTTCTTTGGCATATGAACATCACATTCCTTCCCACAGGTTTGTGAAGAAGACCTATTTTTAGGGTCCAAATTCTGCTTTCTCTGGATAGGACCTTCACTGATACCATTAGCTGACTGGCCAGGATCAACAGGGTTGGTTACAGAGCGCAGGTGCTACGTTTTTGTCAGTGGTCATTCCTTTTCAGATTAGAAGTAAGAAGTGATGATGATGCAGAGCAAAAAGGACAACAGACTCGTAGAAGGTGACTTGCAGGGTACATGGGTAATGAAAACAGAGAGGTTTAGACATGTGGTCTCCATTAAATTTGGACACAGCACACAATATATAGCACCTGCTCTCTAAAAAGAGAGGGAAAGCTGAGATGTGGTGCATACAGTTAGCAAGTGGTGAATGGGCAATGTCTCTGGGACCATCATTTTCTCTCTCCAGAAGCAGAAGACAGTGTTGAGGGTAACAGTGGTGGCTTTCAAGGAATTTCCTCACCCCTGTGAGTGAAGTGCAGCCCATAGTGAAACTGGATATCCCAACGTGCTTCTCCCAGTCAACATATTGTCTTTCTGTTCAGGCATTTTGGATCAAGCGGGTGAGGCATCTGCCAGAACCTCTTTCTGCAGAAACATAGACGAGTTGGAGATTAAATATCCAGGAATAATACTGTGGGATTCAATGAGACCCTGCTGAGCCTCTGGCTTCAAGGTCAATGTAAGCCCTTCGAAGCTGTTGGAGAGCATTGTAACAACCTTCTGTGCTTGGCATTTCATTTTTTGTCCCATGATATCTCCCTTTCCTTTGCTGGCAGCTCTGACAGCAAAACCCAAATGTAGAAACATGTAAGCAACAGGACAACAATGTCCAGGTTTCTACATTCCTTATTTTTAGACAACATCATGACTTGATGGCTGTGGTGGAGATTATGTTCATCAAAACATTTGGTTACCAAGCTGAAACTCAGCAGGGTGGGCAAAGCCTGAAGTGTGAAGCCCCAGGACTGAGGTTAGAAGCTGACTAAATGATAAGGTTAAGTTATACATCTGACTTGGGCTGGGCTGCGAAGATTCAGATAAATCACATGAATAGAGGAAAAGCAAACAAAAATACTAATAAAATCTTGACTATTTGTTCACGTGTGAATTTTTCTACTTATCGTAGCAGTAATTCTTACATCCTAAATCTCAAGAGATGAAGAAGATAGCAGGGAAGTGTCAACTCCCTTGTGCCTCAAATAGTGCTGCCTAAGTCACACTGGTGGGTGCACTGATTTACTGGAAACAAAGCTGACGAGAGAAACTAAAATCAAAAACTGCATTCCCCTCTCAACAGTCCTGTTAATAACTGACACGGATGGGGTAGTCATAGTGTCTGGTCACAAAAATAAGAAAATACTGCCCTGAAATTGCTGGCAAGAAGAAGAGCCATGGAAGGACAGTATCTGAAATAAGGATTGTCATGGATCCCAGCCTGATGCTTCTCTCCGTAGCCACCAGGTCAGTGCATTTACCACACATCGCTATTTTTGGAGCTGAAACCTGGATCCCTCTTCCCACATTGACAAATGGAGATCACTACTATAAAGATGCAACAAATATTAAAGAAATATCCCACTTATCTTTTGAGAGGATAAAACCTGGACACAACAGCGTGCATTCTTCAGCATTTGCAGTTTTGAGCATAAAACAGGAACCAGCAACACGGCTGGCAGCAAGAGAGTGCAGCTAAGGGACTTCTGCTGCAAGAAGGCAGCAGAACGGCACCATGAAGTCACCAGGGTCAGAAGTGAGAAACACAGTTTCTTTGCCCCCGCTGTTTCGCCAGTCTTTCTGCATTACCCACGGCACGTGCCATTTAACCTCTCAGTGCCTCGTCTCCTCCCACTGGAAAGTGGGGAGCAGTAACATTAACCTACCTCATGAGGTGCTGAGGGGCTTAACTTGCTTAACTAACACGTGTGCGGGCCACGGTTATGATTCCTGAGCAGGTCATCCAGTGGAAATCCAAGGGTTTTTGTCTTAGTTATCAGCAAGTTCTTCAAATGTGCTCTCTGAATTGGTCCAGCTGGAAGAAAGCGGGTATCTCTCCTGCCTTATAATGATATTAAGCCAGACAACTCCTCCACATTATAATGATATTAAACCAGAGACAAATGTAGCCTGATAGCCAAAAAGTGAGCACTGTCAGTGAATAATGCCTCTTGGCATGAAAAAGAAAAAAAAAATCCTAGTGCTTTACTGTGCTATTTGTTTTTATTTTGTCTCTTGTTCACTTAGAAGTTATGTGGTAACAAATGCAGTCCTGTAGTTTAAAATGCTAGCTAATAAACATCTTTTGAAAAGGTTCCTTGCTGTTACTTTATATGCATGTGTCCATAAATGAAAGAGATTGATATCTGCTTCTACCAGACACAATTATATAGCCTATAAAACCATCAAGAAATGTATTTTTGCAACAAAAGGATTAAAACAACACCCTATCTTAGGCACCACTTACATTTATTATTCATTAAAAAAATGGGTGAAAAGTACAGATGCAAATAAAACCAAGACATGTCCTTCAGCCACCATATGAATTGTATTTTTCTGCTTATTAAGGGGGGAGTGGCTAGGCATAACACTAGAACAAATATTTGAAGGGTGGCATTGAGAATGTATTTCACCTTTCATCTCCCCTGGATTACAAAAGACTCCATGAGCACTGTCTAACTCCTAGCTGTGAGTCCCAACCAATGTTTTGAGAAATAGTGCCTGAAGCTAGGCTCTGTGTACTGTTTGATGGACACAACCCAACTCCATGAAGCACTGAGCATCTGGACAACTAACCTACTGAAGGACAGGATTTTCAGTAGTGCGCAAGGGATTTGGGCAAATGAAGCCCATTGACGAATGCGCCTTCTCTGAATAACCAGATTCAGTTGGAAAGAGAGAAAAGTGTCAGCCCTGCTCATTCTGTATCTGGCTTCATTGGACTTTTGCTTACTTCTAACCAAATCATGTATTTGGAAGAAATTTACTCTCTATATAGGTATGTACACATATGTATAATGTATACACAGGTAGCGTATAGCAAAGGAAGACACTGGATCGTGTATCTGTGTTAAATAGTGTACACATCTGAAATTGTAATATATTGTATGTAAATTACCATTTATTATGCCCAGAAAACTTATTATGTTGAATTGAAAAACGGCTCTTTTTGCGAGTTAACGGCCAAGAAATAAGATATTGGCAAAAATTATAGGTTCTCTCACATCTTCCTTTTGAAGAAGAAAGTGTTGGGAAGCTTTCAAGAAACATTGATGCTAAACTGGTTGTACAATGGGTGCAATCTACTGTGCTGATTGCTGTAATCAACACTGGTAATAAAATAACAGACAGAAAAGGTGGAAAAATATCTCTTTTATGGTGTGAAATTTAAAATGTGATTTTGATTCTGTCTGGAGATCTGTTACTTACGAGCTAATGCCCAGGGGTAAAGGCTTTGAATAAACACCCCATTTGCAATTGATTTTAAATATAAAGCACCTCAAAAGGTGGAAGAAATGTAGTGGAAGCATGCCAATACTTTGAAGTATGCAAAGCTCCTTGGGAAAATCAAGCTGTTAATTACAGCTGTAAGCCACGGACACCTTTTGTGAAAACTGCAGCCCACAACCAAAGAAATTTTAATAATTACTTTATATTTTAAGGGCACATTTTCAAAAGCCCAAATGGCAGGTATATATGTCAATCTCCATTTGACTATAAATGAGAACCTATCATTTAATTCCTCCTTTGTGAATTTGAAAAGATTGTCTCCACACTTACCAATGGAAGATAAGACTGCTCTGAGGTCTCAGCTTCCTTATCTCCGCTCTTATCCCTAATGCAGACAATGGGACTAAAGTAAATGCGCACAGCCAAGGCTGATACCTGGATGGCTGAATAATGGTTATTGTCTGTCAGATTTCCACAATGGGGAGATTACAGCAACGTAGTCTAAGTGAGATACTGCCCCGCTGAAATCTAAAGAACAGAAAAAAAAATTTTAAAAACAGCAAGACTTTAGCACTATTAAAATGAAAATATAATCCTGTCTCACGCTAAGCTGATTAATTCCTTTGCAAAAATGACATTTGAAATAATGTATCAGGGTCATTACTTTCCTAGTCATAGGAATTACCATTTCAGACGAAGCAAGAAGAGCAGGGAAGGAAATCGTGCAAGAGCAGGGCCCAAGGTGCTGCTTTTGGCATCCAGCTCTTGCTGATGGGCAGGAGTGACCCCAGACTGGGCAGAGCCTGCTGCAGAGGTGAGGACTGGAGGATTCAGCTTTTCCAAGGCATTTGCTGCCTGAGCATCACATGTCACCATGTGGCATTCTGATTTGGGCAAGAAAAAGCTATCTTCTGCTGAGAGCTAGCCTTAGGCTGGATGTGGGCTGGGGTCTCAGGCAGAGTGGCCTTGAAAGACAAGCAATATTTGCACCCACAGCTGTCTTAAATATTTTCTCTAAATGTATCATGTCTCATGGCACTGACTTCTG